AAGCAAAGAAGAAAAAGCATTTGATGCTAACTTTACAAGAAAGAACTATAATTAAAATAAAAGAAGAATACAAACTAAAGATCTTATATCTTTTACTACGAGAAATTTGGAAAGAAAGAAATTATACAAATAATACTATTGATTGGTTAAAAATTCAAGAATTACGAAAGAAAGCTAAAAGATTAGGATATAATCCTATAATAATACCTATTAAAGAAATTAAAGAAAATCCGTTAAAAGGATTGTCTACAGAAATTCTTAATAGATATTATCAAGAAATTTATAAACCATAGAAAGAAATCCCAAACCGAAAAACTATAATCTCTCTATATCGAAAGATTCTTGAAAAATATAATAACATACTACGAGAATTTGAAAAAAAAAACGAGAAAACTAAAAGATTTTTGGAACAAGAAATATCAGCTCATTATTCTGGCAAGGACAAATAGAAGAATTCACAGAATTACGAGAAGAAGAAATTAACAAAAACTATTTAACAAAAATTGAAGCCTTTGAAGAATTATTAAAACACGAACCTTAAGAATTAATAGAACTAAATAATCAAAATAATTACAAAGATATAATAGAATATTTAACAGAAAAATATATCTATTTGAAGAAATGATACCAGAAAGCTTATTCAACTATTGTGGATACAAAAATCCTGAACCAACTGTTGAACAGTTACTTACAGGACAATTCAGACACTATTAATGCAACAAGAATCTGAAATAGAAAAATTATTACATTATCATATAAATCTTTATCAATATCTTAATCAAACAGAAAACTACCAAAAAGAAGAAACAGAAATAGTTCAACGAATATATTTAGAACAATATTATAGTGAACTAAAGAAATTAATACAACAAGTAGAATATCAGACAATGAACCTTTTGAAGGAAGAAAAAGCAGAACAAATATTAATACCAAAACTGACTTCAAACCTACAGATAAATACTGACACTACAACATTATTAATAGAAATTGATGAAGAAACTACTAGAGTATATTCTAGAGAACCAGTAAATATATACTATTATGTAAAAAGCTTTAAACAACATCTACCACTAAAGTATTTAGAGTGACACGTAGAAAAACTATTTAAATCTATACACATTAAACTAGAAACTACAGTAATATCTATAATTAAATCACAGATAACTGTAAAAACACAATTATTTAAAGAATCAATATTTCAACATGGAAAAGCAATAGTACGAATTATTGCTACACTATTTGGATACTTTGAAAAGACATCAGAAATCACAAGAGATAAAATATTTATATCATATGATAAGGAAATCCATCTTTATTCTTTATTAAGAGAAGAAATTACAGATATCGAACACTTTGTAGTAAACTTTACAACAAAAGAACTACAACAAATTCTTGTTTATCAAGGAACATTTATTGGAAACAAGAAATTAACAAACATTACAAAATCTAAAGAATCAGAAAACTCTATAGCAACTGTAATAGAAAAAGACTATTACATTCTAATATTCTTTGACAACTTCGATTATTCAAATGACAAAGCAGAAATAAAGATCTGGCATGAATTCTTATACATTCAAGGAAAAAATAAAGTACACTATGAATGAACCAAGAAATATCAACGAGCCAATACTGTACAAGTTGTGAAACTATATTAGAATATCCAGAATCATTTAAAGAATTATCAGAAAAAGTATATAAAACCTGCAATAATTGTAGATTGAAAAGAAAAGAACGAAAAACATATCCTAAAAGAAACCCTGAAGAAAAACTAAGAAGAATTCAAAATTTACCAAAAAAGCAACGTTGTTCAAGGTGCAAAAGAATACAAAAACAAGAAGAATTTGGATACACTTCTATAGGGAAGGCATTCAAAACTTGTAAAAGTTGCAGACAATAAGCAGAAAATAAAGGATATAATTCGACACAATATTGAATAGAATTACAAGCACGAAAGATCATTGAAGAAATAAATCAAGAAATCCAAAACGAAATTCAAAATGGAACCAACATCAACATCAATTCTGAGTATATCAAAATGGATGTGAAAATGCAAAAATTGTAAAGAATATACAACTTTCCATGATTACAAAGAAACATATGATGATAATAGAACTGAATATTTTGATAACTGTAGAAAATGTAGAAATCTTCAGTTAATAATAGATTCACTAATACAAAATATAAACCTATCACTATGAAGAATAGTACAATTAGCTTTATTCAAAAAAGTAGACAGGAAAACAAAAATATGTTTATCCTTATGAAACAACCCTCAAAAACCATATTATCTTCATAACCAAGGAATGGGAAAAAAAGGAAATTTAGACGAAAATGGAAAAACATGCGAAACTGCAAAGGCAACCATACTCCAAGAAACCTTTGAAGAAGCTAACATTGTATTAAGCAATACCAAATTAATAAACATTTGGTCAGAAACAGCATTAAGTACTATGGAATGGACTTCACAAAGAAATTGTCCAACACTAGAAGCAAAATACAGAATTGAATGAACAGTATTCATATATCTAGCACACGAATATATGATACCAGAGCAAACAGAACCAGATAAAGCAGAACCATGGCAATGGTATACATATGAAGAAACTATACAATTACCATTGATACCTATGTTTCAACAAAATATAGAATTAATATTCGCAGAAATAGAAGCATACTGCCAAGAAGAATACCAAGAATACCATTCATCGATACCTAATATAAAATATCTATATTCAGATATTGAAATATTAGAAAATGAAGAAGAACTCAAAGAAACACTGATAATAACGGAAGAAGAATTTGAAAATCATAACAAACAACCAGAATGGACTACAAGAATAGACATTCTACGATTCGAGAACTATAAAGAAACATTAGAAGAAGCTATTAAGAAATATAAGAAACAACTTCGAAGAGTAGATAAATAATTAACGATCATTATGATATAAAATACTTATCTATATTTGGACCAAAAGATAGGTTAAACGTAGTGACAGCAGTAGGAAAAATACCTACATTATACGAATTACGAATACGACCAGAAATATGGAGCAAGATACCGAACCATATCTACTCCTACGAAATAGATAAATTCACTCAGAAAGGAAATGAATACTTCACAATAAAAATCAGAAGATTACGACCTACACAATATATTGTAGATCCAGAAACACAATTGACGGCAACAATAGAATATCTTTATGATAACTATTGTCATCATGCGATGATCTGATGAAAATCTTGTCAGACGCAAAGAAAATCTTGAAACGAAATAATTTACCTATTTTTAGAAATTACCTAGAAAATCTCCGGGTAGACGTTGATCGATACATAAGCCCCTTTTCTGCAAAGAACGTCGTGCCTTTTGCATTTTACAGATCTATATGTGTTGTCCGGATATAGAAATACCACACATTCTCCGTGAAGATTAGTGATGGCAATGCGCACGGTATGAATTCATATGCGGGCATGCGTTAAATTAATATCTATAGCTATAGAAGGAAATAAAAATAAGTAAATGTTTAGGCGAAAATTGATTATGGCGTCAACTATATAAAAGAGGTCTTTTTACGTATTTCAAGTTACTATAAGTTAGCGCAATTTTTTAATAAAAGAAAAATCACGACTTCAAAATGAATTTTAAACTCTTGTTGACCTTAACTGCAGTCTTTGCGGTTATTTTCTCTTCAACTGTTTCAAGCTCGCCAGTCCAAAAGGGTAATAATACATTTCCTTTTTTGTTTGTTGTCATTATAGAAACAAATTATTGTGATAATTTTATTAATCTCATTCTAGATCTAGACGAACGCGATGGTATGATTAATTCAAAATTTTATATCAATTTATTATTACTATATAAATAACTTCTCTAATCAAATCTACATTGATATATTTTTAGAATGTGAGTATATATTTATATTCTTAAATAGAAATAGAATAAATTTCTCTAATTAATTATATTTGAATTGATAAATTATTAGCGATGTGAGTAGAAAATTAATTAATCTAAAAATTAAAATTTTAATTGAAATTTATAACATATAATTAACATAAATAAAACTTCTCTATTCGATTATATAAATTAAAACATTAGCGAGTGAGTATAGAATTATTTTGTAAATTGAAATTTATAACATATAATTAACATAAATAAAACTTCTCTATTCGATTATATAAATTAAATCATTAGCGCGTGAGTATAGAATTATTCTGTAAATTGAAATTTATAACATATAATTATCATAAATAAAACTTCTCTATTCGATTAATATTAGTCCGTGAGTATAGAATTATTTTGTAAATTGAAATTTATTATCATAAATAAAACTTTTCTATTCGATTAATATTAGTCCGTGAGTATAGAATTATTTTGTAAATTGAAATTTATAACATATAATTATCATAAATAAAACTTCTCTATTCGATTAATATTAGTCCGTAAGTATAGAATTATTTTGTAAATTGAAATTTTTGTAGCTTTTAAATAAAATTTATTTAATCGATTGTACGAATTAATCATCAGTTGGTATGTACAGAATTAATTTATAAATTGATAACCTGTAATTAAATATTTTCTAATCAATTATATGAATTAAATCAATAGCTCGTGAGTACAGAATTATTTTGAAATTTTATCCTGTAATTAAATATTTTCTAATCAATTATATGAATTAAATCATTAGCATGTGAGTATAGAATTATTTTGTAAATGGAAATTTTTATAACTTAAAATTCAATAAAACTTATCTAATCGATTATATGAATTAATCATCAGGTGAGTATATAATTATTTTGAAATTAAACTTTACATTGTAATTAAATATTTTTTAATTGGTTATATGAATTAAAATTAGTCCGTGAGTATAGAATTATTTGGAAAATTGAAATTTATAACATCTAATTATCATAAATAAACCTTCTCTAATGATTATATAAATTAATTCATTAGCGGGTAAGTATAGAATTATTTTGTAATTAAAATCTATAACATATAATTAAATAACTTCTCTGATTATATTAATTAAATCAATAGCGCGTGAGTACATAATTATTTTGAAAATTTTTATAACTTATAATTCAATAATTCAATAAAACTTATCTAATCGATTGCATGAATTAATCATCAGTTGGTATGTACAGAATTAATTTGTAAATGGAAATTTTATAACCTGAATTAAAGATTTTTAATCAATTATATGAATCAAATAATTAGCGCGTGAGTATAAAATTATTTTTTTTTAAAGTGAAATTTTGTGACCTATAATTAATTAAAATTTTCTAATCAATTCATAAATCATTAGTCCGTGAGTACAAAATTATTTTAGTAAACTGAAATTTTTATAAGCTATAATCAAATAAAACTTTCTACTTTTTTAATTACATGAATTAAATCATTAGTCCGTGAGTATAGAATTATTTTGTAAATTGAAATTAGAGGCAGGAACCGGTTGTAAATTTAAATAACCGAATTGGGTCTACGTGCAAACCGAATTGAACCGGATTGTGCAAAATCTATGCGACATATTTTTTGCTTTACTGAATGATCTGAAAGAATTCTGATTGGCTAAAATAATAATAAACCCGAATTGGAATACAGTATTACCAACTGGTTTATTATAGAACCCGTTTACTATCAAAACGATTTACTATTAAAACTGGTTTGACCCGGATTTAAAGTCGAATTATAGTAACCGGCTCCGACCTCTAATTGAAATTTTTATAACTTATTTTGAAATTAAACTTTACAACCTGTAATTCAATATTTTCTAATCGGTTATATGAATTAAATCATTAGTCCGTGAGTATAGAATTATTTTGTAAATTGAAATTTTTATAACTTATAGTTCAATAAAATTTAACTTATCTAATCGATTGTATGAATTAATCATCAGGTGAGTATACAATTATTTTGAAATTAAACTTTACAACTTGTAATCAAATATTTTCTAATTGATTATATGAATTAAATCATTAGCGGGTGAGTAAAGGATTATTTTGTAAATTTAAAATTTTATAACTTATACTTCAATAAAACCTATCTAATCTATGCATGAATTAATCATCAGATGGTGAGTAAAGAATTATATTGTAAATTGAAATAATTAAATAAAACTTAACTAATCGATTACATCAATTATCAGTTGGTGAGTAAAGAATTATTTTGTAGGTTGAAATTTTACCCTGTAATTAAATATTTTCTAATCTATCACATAAATTAAATCATTAGCTAAGTGTGAGTACATAATCATTTTGTAAATTGAAATTTTATTATCTATAATTAAATGAAATTTCTCTAATCATTAGTTCGTGAGTACAATTGTTTTGTAAATAGGATTTTATAATCTTTAATTATATAAAACTTCTCTATCGATAACATTAATTGAATAATTAGGAGGTGAGCACGGAATTACTTTTTAAATCATTTAATATATAATTTTATAAACTATTTTTTAATAAGAAAATATCTAAATTTTTAGATCATTTTCACCAGCAATATCGCCTATTATAATTTATTTTAAAAAATTAATTTTAGGAGGGTGAGTGTAAATTATTTTATAAAAATACTTAGAGTAATGTGTTAAGTTACTTTGAATTAAAATTTTTTATTAATTAACTTTATAGAAACTTCTGTTTTTTGCTTAATATGTTTACATTATATCTATTATATATTACCAATATTATTATTATATAATCTAAATCAGTATTATTAGTTAATAAATATATATTAAACACATAATTATTATATTTATGTTTTTTGTTAACTCTCTTATAATTTCATTACTACATTTTAATATAATTCATATATAAAATATTATACTATTAATCTAATAATAATAATAATATAAAGTTATTAATAGATTGGGTTGAGTTAAGTTAAGTTGAACTGTTCCTTAACCA